GCCATGCAAACTTTTAAACGATAACTTATCATCGTTGTACTTATTTTATATCATGTACAATTGAAAGTGATCTTTTACGAGCCATGCAAACTTTTGAACGATAACTTTTTATGTATATTTTCATCATCCAAATGGTTAATATTAATTTAGAACTAAATAAGTTTAAGTGCAAGAAGGGGGTGTTTAAAATTATGATAACTTTGAGAATTAAGTGGTGTTTGATTCGTAAATTTTGAAGAAATTTGATGGAATTGAAATTTTGAATTTCATTAACCAAATTTCATTCCCTTGTTTGATTCATTTTTTGGGTGGAATGTATCTTCACAATCCTACAAATTTCACAAATAAAGGAATTTAACATTGTTTAGCAACTGGATTGTATTTTGATGGAGTGAAATTCTCTATTTTCATAATACCTAATATGCCCTTAACTCAACCTACCTTAATCTCATAAAACCCAATATAGCCTAAAATCTAATAAACCAAGAACGACACCTCCAAACTTCTCGATTTTTCTATTTGTTTCTATTTTGCTCAATCGATGTCCTGTTTGCTTAATTCAAATAGGTTGGTCGATTTATGTTCCTTATGTTTCTATCGATACTTGTTTATGTTCCATGAAATAAAACATCTTTATAAACAGGAAATGAGGTTATGGTTAGAGCATCTTTACTTATGTAGGATTGTTTAATGATGGTGGCATGCACGTATTTTGAACATGTTTAATGGCTTTTGGAACAATTTTAATATCGATATACTAACGTCATTTGGTTTATGGTTATATTTGTATTGCGTATTTTTTTTTATCGTTTTACATATTAAATGGTTATTTTATTAAAGTATTTTTAGTTTAAAAGAAATTAAAATTATCAAAAAGGGTATTTTGGTCATTTATCAAAATATTCCAATTCTGTCAATCAAACATGTAGTTAAATATATATAAAACAAACGTATTATAAAATAAATATATATTAAGAAAACATTAAATGCTAGCTTTAAATTAAAATAATATTTGTAAGATAAAAAAGTTTACATTATCATAATATATGAAGTTGTATTTAGGAATGGCAATGGGCCGGGTTCGGACCGATTATTGGTATCTCCGTCCCCGAAACCTATAACTAAAATCGTTCCCATAACTGTCCCGATCCCCATCGAGGATTTTATCGGGGATCCCCATCGGGTCCCCGTGGTTTCCACGATTCCCGTTGGGGAACCCATTAACAGTAAAAATCTTCTTTTTCCTGTTCACCGTCGGTTATAACCGAAACCGATATAAAAAAAATTCAATATGTTAATTTTCACAACTAAAATTTAATTACAATTTTTGTAAGGACGTAAGTTTAAATATCTTAAACATGATTGAACCAATTACAAACAATGTATTATATTACAATATAAAAGTAACCAGAAATTCAAACATCATACAACTAACATCATGATTTCACGATTAAACAAATAAACTAGAATTTTTTGTGAGATTTATTTGGATTGTGTGAGGTAAAGTGAATAAAAGTCTTTTAAATTTTAATATTATTTTTTTAATGATTATATATATGTATATAAATTAAAATTAATATATATACACGTATCGGGTCGGGCCAGACGCCCCCGCCCCCGTCCCCTTCCCCGTTAATATCCACAAATTTGTCCCAAATCCCCACCCCGTCCTCGATATGTTGTCACAGAACGCAGCGCGGAAATTTCAGTTTTCGCTATCCTTTTTGGTTTTTCTTGTGGTTCTGTACTTTGTTTAGACCGTTAACATTCAAAAACTTATTATTTAAGTTCTAAGTTTGATGATATATTTTTTCATTACAAATATTTTATTATGATCTTATTAGAGCAACTCCAACCTTCACATAAAAAAAACACCAAATAGGCGGAGCCATAAACAAAAAAAAAAAAACTCAACTCAAACATTTTGACGTCCATCTCTTCCACGGTAAATTTGTCGTTCATTTCCTTTCTCCAATAAAACTTTGGTGTATTTGGCGTGCGATTGGATAAAAAAACGTTTGCCGTTTGATTGGAGTTGATGTTGAAAACCGAATCATGTCGCTTTCCAAGCAAATCAATATAATACTCGAGATAAGATTAGCGATCACGAAAGATATGGCCATGTTTGATATCCCGTACAAATACAATTCATAATGCTTCACATCCCAACGCAATCCACCTGATCTACAGTTCTACACCATCTTCCGTCGCCGTCGGTGTTGCATCCTCCGCTGTGGACGAGTGGCCAACTGCCTTTCAGTCACCGACGATTACTGCTGTGAAGTAGATAAACAACTTTTAGAAGCCCTATTTTGGTGATCGGAGTTACTCGCTGCATACGAGCACTTTTTGAAGTCAGTCTACTGATAAGTCAGAGATGGCAAACTCAATACCGTCGCGTCATTTATTCATCGATGGAGAATGGAGAGAGCCGGTTAGGAAGAATCGGATCCCCGTCGTCAATCCCGCCACTGAGCAGATAGTCGGTATGATTTTCAGGAACCTCTGAAATTCTTTTATGTTATTTGAATCGAAGAGTAGCTGTTCTATCGTAGGTTCTGTGGCTATTTTTGCTTTTTGTTAAGGTTCATTGAAAAATAATTACACTTACTAATTTTGTCTATTCGTTAAAATGTTGCCTGTACTGTTGGTAAAAAGAATATCACTTTTGTTGGGTTGATACCTAGGTCTCGAATCAAGGATCTTGCTTGAATGTTGATGCATAAGGTGTAATCTCTCTCTTTAGTAGGTGTTTGAATGTGAGTTTTCAAGGTGATAATTTGGATTAAAGAATCTGATTCATAGTCAAATAATAAAGTAATTATTAATTGATAGCTCAAAAGTCATGTTTCCTGCAACATCTATCTCTAATATATTAATTTGACCCTAAACGATCAACCATCATCACAAAACTCGCACATGGATGATGGATCCAAATGCATGTTTCACATAAAGTAAAAAATGGGAAGCTTGAGGTTTTTGTAGGATTGCTCTTTTAGTTTTCAGCTATTCAAGTTTGTCATTTAGAATAGTGTTTGTAGGTTGTTGCAAGTTCTTCAAATCATATGAAGGTTGCATTACTTGGATCATTACCTTAGTATCCGCCTTTTTCAGGAATAAGAAGTTATATAATTATTGATTATTAGCTGAATAAATGTATTTTTAGAAGATATTGTTTTCTTGTAATTATCCTGTAAATCCTCCTTGATTAAAGGAGAGCCTGTTGTAATCTCCTCCTATATATTGGTAACGTATTCACCACAATTTGTGTGGTTGATTTTACAACATTCTATATGGTATCAGCTAACTAATCTATTCTTCCCCTTCGTTTTCTCTCAAACCCTATTCTTCCCCTAATCGCCGATCCTGGTTTCCTCCATGGCTGCCTCATCAGAAACTCCTCTCTCCATGAATACTCTTCTTCACATGATCCCTATTAAATTATCATCATCCAACTATCTCATATGGCGAAATCAGATGCTTCCTCTCTTCACCTATCA